CATACACCATCAATCGGGTTTGCCCTACTCTCTGCACACACACTCCTATCCCTTTGCATGCCTCTCGATGTCCTTCGACCGACCGTCCACGTTCGACCCGACAAAGACGCAATGGGAAGCACTCACCAAGGAGAAGTTCGACGGCGTCCGCTGTTGCTTCGGACAGCTCGTTTGGTATCGCCTAAAGTCAGCTGGAAAGAGAACCCTAGAACCCAACATGGCTCCAGGCTTGTTTATGGGTTGGCGTATCGATCCAGGGATGCGATATCGAAGGGTGCTAAAAGTTATGGACTACCAAAGTTTCAGGACCAATGGAAATGTTACTGTCCATGACGTGCCCGAACCTGAGTTGTTCGTCGAGGAAGGCGATCCTGTTTTCCCGATCGCGGCCGCTGCCGATCGAGCCCTGCGAACAGGCGATGGCGAGGTTCCTGAATATGCCATCAGAGATGTTCCGTTCATTCCTGAAGGCATCCCAGCCCCGTCAACACCGTCAGGCTTTAAGTCACGAAGTGTGTACATCACCATTGAACGGATCATAAAGTTCAAGGAGACTCCTGGGTGCAAGGCCTGCACCGGCCATGCTAGTTCCAGGCATCACACTGACGAATGCCGCAAAAGGTTTGCAGAGCTAGTTGAAAGTGAAAAGGAAGAAGCAAAGGCCAAAAAGGCCGCAAGTGAGGAGGCCACCAAACCAAGTAAGGGTGCAGATGAGGCAGCTGCTACACGCGCTGCAAAGGCGTCCTCCCTAGAACCCCCAGAAGCCCCAGAGATCGAGGCGCCTGAGGAGGGAGACCCCGATATCGTCCGTGCCTTGCTTGGAGAGCCCGCCTCTTCTCGGCCCAGTGTTCCGCATACCGACGCTGTCCCCGCATCAACCAAGAAGGATGAATGGGTTTATAAGCCTAGTGGTAACGTGTTAATCCGCGTGCATCATCAGCCTAGGATTAAACTTTTCACTCCCAAGGATGTCGGCGATTGTCCCGTGTCAGTGTGCAGAATCACACCCGGTAGGACCACTCGCGTTGTGTCCCGGCAAGATGGTAGCAAGGAAGATATCAGTGATGGTTGGGCAGGCAGATTCTCAGCACATCGAGAACTCCCTGTGTTCTGGACTGGCATAACCATTTTTAGGTTATATAGTGATTCCGAGCATTCGGCTGCAGCTTTAAGCGCAGCAGGGGGGCTCAGTCCTCACGAGGGTAACGTCCCAGTCAGCTCAGGAGCAGCCGTCACCGTGTCAACCGCATCCAGCACAACACTTGCTGAGACCACGAAAGAGAAGCCATCCGTTTTCGGTAACCCTTGTCAGCTTCAGGGGGGCGATGAACGCCCTCCGTTTACCGTTGGCAACAAACGTGCTCGCAAGCGCCTAGCGCGCGATGCTGTTGGCCCGATGTTTGAATTTGCTTGTTCACCTAATTCCTCAATGGGTAATGTGTTCAAGGATCTCGACATCCCACATGTCCGATTAGCAAAGGAGTACATTGACTTAGAGTCAGCCGTTGCGGATGAGCAGCTCGCTTATCAACTCTCGCAGTGCGTCCGACCCAACTTGTGGGCAGCCATTCCATGTGTCTCAGGATCACCTTGGCAGAGGCTGAACCTCCACAGGTTAGGAAAGCCGTTTAAGAAGAAGTTAGAGGAAAAAGTCAAACAATCCAAAGTGATGTTTTCAAAGTTTACATTGCACGCCGAGCATGTTTTGAAGGCCGGCGGATCAGTCACCTTCGAGTGGCCACGCGACTGCGAGGGATGGCAAAGGCCAGATGTAGCCGAGTTCTTCGAACGCCACAAGGACGTGTTCCACGGTGTTTCGTTCCACGGCTGTGCTGTCGGCTTGACGGATGAAAATGGTTCACCCATCAAGAAGCCTTGGCACATCAAAACTACATCAAAGGCCCTTGCCGAAGCATTCGCTGATCGCCAGTGTCCGCACACAAAGTCCGAAAAACATACTCCAGCGGCAGGGAGCCGAACCTCCCGCACTGCATTCTACCCTGAGCAAATGTGTGGTTTGATCGCCAAAGCATTATATCCCAAAGCTTGTAGGACTCCGGTTCAAGCAATGCCTGTAGTTCCAGTCACTCAGCAGACGGAGCATCGTGTTAAGGAACAGTCCCTAAAGCACGAGTCTCCGCTTTCCGGAGCAGATGACTTCACCCTCCTCGTTGAATCAGACTCTAAAGTAAAGGGTATTGTTGAGGAACTCCTTGATGTCCAAAGTCTACTTGCTTATGCTGTCGACATGCCCTCCAAGGCTGTCGAAACAGAAGCGCATGCAATGGTCACTAAACTCCTGTCCCGTGCTGAGATGCTTGCATCTCCTGATGCATTGGAAGCGATCAAGCAGGAGGCGACCGGACTCCAAGACGTCGGAGTATGGGATAGTTCAACTGTCCGGGAGAAGGCTGAGGTCGCAGCTCAAGCGCGACAGTCTGGGATCAAGGTGCACTTTGGTCAGCTCATGACGATCGCCAGCATCAAGTTCTATGAACTTGCGAAGCACCTCCAAAAGGTAAAGGGGCGCATCGTGTTCAGGGGAGACTGCGCAAAAGATGAAGCCGGTGCACCCGCGGTGTACCAAGAACTGGGGGCAAACCCCACCTCGGTACAGGGCCTAAACGCCTGCCTGGCGTATGGGTGCATCCCAGGACACACGGTCACCACCGCTGACGCGGTAAAAGCCTATGTCCAGGCGTTCCTTAGCTCACAGTTTCAGACGTGGATCGAGCTCCCGCCTGAGCTGCGGCCAAAGGAATGGGGTTCCAAGTTCGTGAAACCCGTGGTCTTGTTGATTCGTGCCCTATATGGTCACCCTGACGCAGGAGGTCTGTGGGAGGCACACCTTAAGAAACTGCTCAAGCAGCTGGGAGGAGAAGAAATCCCAGAGTTTCCTGGAAACTTTTTCTTTAAAGGGGTAGGCCTTATGCTCTCGACTTACGTCGATGACTTAACCCTCTCAGGTCCCGCAGATGCACATGAAGCCTTTTGGGCTAAGCTTACAAAAATGATAAATGTAGAGCCTCCCGAGCCGATCTTTCGGGTGCTCGGGCGTAATCATGTCTTTATAGATGGCCCCGCAGAGCCTCAAGAGCATGATCTGAATGCAGCTGTAAGCGCATTGAAGGGTGCCGTTGCATTTGACATGAATGACTATGCCCGTCAAACCGTAGAACTGTTTTGTTCCATAACCGGCACTCAGCCCGAGAAGCTCCGGAAGGTAACTACTCCGTTCTGTCCAGACGGATCACTTCCTCCTGAAGATGATCAGTCAGCTGGTGAGCTAGCCCCAAATGCGTGCAAACTCCTCATAAAGGCCTTATGGCTGGGACGACTAGCACGTCCTGACATCATCAAGCCCATAGGTGACTTAGCAACCGCCGTTCAGAAGTGGTCTCGCAACCATGATAGGCAACTCGCCCGTCTTATCGCGTACATCCACTCGACGACCCACTATCGCTTGGTAGGGGTCATAAAAGATGACCCACAAAATCTTCACCTCGCATTGTACGCTGATGCCGACTATGCTGGGCAAAGGGATGCGAAGTCCACATCCGGTGGCTTCCTGGTCCTCAAAGGACCAAACACCCATTTCCCCTTAGCATGGCTCAGCAAACGGCAGACATCCGTGTCGAGGTCCACCACCGAAGCTGAGGTCGTTTCGCTCACATTTTCCTTGTATCAAGAGGGCCTTCCCTCCTTGACCTTGTGGGAACGTTTGCTTGGACGCCCAGTCGAGCTGGTGCTGCACGAAGATAACCAAGCCACTATCCTCGTTGCCAAGAAAGGTTACTCTCCGAAAATGCGGCACATACAGCGCACTCATAAAGTGAACTTGTCCGCACTTGCTGAGCAACTTGAACCCGGCACGGGCGTAGTGATCAAGTACGTAGCAACCGATCTCCAGGCAGCAGACATCTTCACAAAAGCACTGCAACCCTTGAAGTGGGACCACGCTCTCAAACTTTTGGGCATCAGAACCAATTTGCCCGAAAAGTTAAAAGATGTCCGGCCTGAGATGACCAAGCATTAACAAAAGTGCAGAAATCAAAGGTAAGCCCTCCTTTTGGTCTGGTGAAGGACCTTGCATCACATGGGTCGCAGCTCAAGCGCGACTGTAAAATACAAGTCTCTTGGTGGGCACGGGGAGGGGGGAGTTGAATAATCACGACCCCTTGACCCCCAAAGAGGTACCCCAGAAGGGTGTGCATGCATGTGATGTTAGAGGCCCCATTGACTGCATGTGTTTCGGGTGACATGTCGAATGGCAATGACCATTTGGCTCAAGATGCCCATCAGATCAAAACCAGGGTTTGCGCTCGCCTACCGGACTGGGGTTAATAAGGGTCCCGGTTTCTGGTTCGCTGTGTTTCTTTCCCTGTTGAGTGTGTAACCCTCAAACGGGCAGCAATCCAAACTTCTCATGATGTTCATCAAGGGGTCCAAGTTAGCATTCATACCCATGTCATGTGCATATTTGGGACGCCTGGGAACCAGCAATTGCAAATTGGATTTGTCCCAGCCGGTGAATCAACGGCATCGATACCACTTTTTTTTTGGGATGACATGGGTGAATCGCCCGCGTGCGAGTGCCCCTAAACTCCAGGCTATTTCAGACTGACAGTGAAAAGGGGTCGATTCTCCTAGCCAATGCTTTACCAGACTCCCCTCAAGTGGCACGAGCCACATGGCAATACGCAGGGCTGGGCTCTAAGGAGACAACAACCCTCAATATAGACTTTCAACAAGATTAGAAGGGCACCAGCTCTTTGGAAGACCATGTCCCTCTTGAAGGCATCCCTCTTGTAAGGGCCTTGCCGGGTACCCGGTCAGAGCATGCACCCACGCACCCACGCACCCACGCACGCACGCACGCACGCACGCACGGACGGACGCACGGACGCACGGACGCACGGACGCGCGGACGCGCGGACGCATGTGAGGCTCATTTTTTGATCCACGGGTTGACATCAGCCCATTGACTATGCTGCGGCTGTAGGTGTCTATTCAGCTGCCAGAACCTGGTGGCGACGTAGACGACAACCTCCGGGAGCCGGAATTGGGTGAGGGCAGGGTTTCCAGATTCCCTTTTTGGCGGTTTTCAAAATCACCTTCGGGGCAACTTAAAGTGAGTTTCCTTTGGTAAGCGCTGGCTAGGCCAGAGACTCTGCCGGAATGTTAATGGACTCCCAATTAATCAGTTTTGGCAGCTTGTCCAAACCTTGTTGACCTGAAGGGTGGGAGGACGCTCTAATTAGGGGATTTTATCCTGATACGCTCGGCTTAAACATGCGACCGGGTTTGTCGGGATGAGTATCCGCCCGCGAACCGGGGTTTCAGGTCAAAATGTTCCCATGAAGGGTTCCACGACCACAAGCCGAAGAAGTTTTGACTCTTTTGCCATGGGGTCCCCGGTTTCCCACGTGGTACCAACCCTCAAGAGGCCACCCGGCAAACAAAGAGAGACCCGTCCATGCACCGCTTAATCCTCACCCGTCATCCAGCTAAGAGCATGACACAAGTTGCACTTTCCAGATTACAACTAGAAAGGGCCAGGTCGTTTTGTTCTTTTACCTGAACATCCAGACCGCGAATTTTGTCTCGTGGCCTGTTTGGGTGTCCAAGAATTGGAGGACCCCTTCTTGGTTTCGCAATAGGAGCCAACGAAACCGGGGTCCATGTCCTATTGTACCATGCGGGTAGTCTTCAGTGGGACCCGGCCACTTGGATGTTCAACCCACATGACCAGAAGGTCATCACCATGCTCATGTGTCCACAAACTTTGTTGCCATACTAAAGCGGCTAGAACCTGCTTACTGAATGGGTTGAGCATCGATGAAGTGAGGGACTGTCGCCAGAAATAGGTGTGGACACTTGCCTTCTTGATTCTTTACACGGCTTTATGACTCAACTTTGGTCACCTTTTGGTGGGTCTAGCTGGCAAACCCCACATATTCGAATATTGGTGGAGGAGCTCGCGAACTATGCCATCCACGACCTGCACGTGTGCCTGGCTTGGTATCCACTGTGGGGCTTTGTTGTCGTGGAACGTCTCTTGAGTGCATGTATGTTATTTTCTTATATATACATTATATATATATATTATGTATGTATATATATATATATCTATATTATGTTTTTTTTTTTTTTATAATATACGCTATACATACATACATATATATATATATGTATATATATATATATATATATACACATATCATGCCCCTTGGAGTACTCACCTTGTGTCAGCAATCGCACCTAGCCATATGCTTCGATTCTGGCAAAGTGAGGCAAAGAGGGGCTGTTTTCGACTGAAGATTCCCGTCGTGGCCCCCAATTCCCGGTGCTCCTATTGTCAATTTTGGCATGATCCCAAATGGTAGTGGATGTGAGCGCCAAATGACGTCTGTTGTGCCAATGTATTCCGTTTGAACAAGTGGGACAAACAGTAGAAATTTCAACTCTTGAATCCAGGAAAGTTTATACAGGACAAGGCCTGGATTTCTAAGACCAAAAAGCCAACATGGGATTGTGTCAAATTGAGGAACCTGCCAACTGGGCTGCTTCTTTTTGAGTGCCCAATATGAGAATTGGGAGCCAGGACTTTTAAACACATCCGGTCGCTTGTGTGCGTGGTCATGGCTGGCTTTGCACGTTTGGGGGCCGCGACATCTACTTGTCTTCAGAAAGAGAATCAAGCTTCAGACGATTCTGCCTCCCGCGACTAGCTGCTGTGGTCTGACCTTGAATCGCCTCAAGTTTGAAGCCGTTACTCAGCAGCAAAAAAACAAACACCAAACACCTTGACTCACGTGCTGGTGATGCCGGAGGTGTTGACCACTTTGGTCAACAAGGATCTTCAAAAGCAGAACGAGTCATGCCGGTCTCGAAAAGCGCAATTGCGTAATTCGTTTTGTAAAGAACTTTGATGCCGTCAATGACTTCGACAACTCGAGTTTGGACCCCACGAAGTCATCTGTGTTAAAAGCAGTAAAACAAATCTGGTTTCTGCCTCCAGCACCTAGCCGCAGGTATGCTCATCTTCAATCGTCTCATGTTTCAAACCTTGACGGGCCTGGGTTAGACTGCGAGGGGGCAGGAGGGCGCAGTGCCGGGCTCACACAAGCATAAATATATACATATATATATATACTCATGCATACATAGACTACGTCAATGTCTATCCCGACGAGTGGCAGGTCTATTCTATCATATGAACTTGGATATGCTTCATTCCTTCTCGCTTGGTCAGTTTCCATTTCACAAAATTGACGTGTTGCACTGCTTCACTTTGTGTTTCCCATCTATTCCCTTAGCTTCTTAGCTTTTTAGTCTTTAGTGGGGATTTCCATTTAACCACTAAAAGTTAAACTTTTAGCGGAGGATCTGAGGACATCCCAGTTACTAGTAGCTATACGGTGTCAAAGGTCATTTGCCTGCGATTGACTGAGGCAGGAGCCGCATTTCAGCATGCTGGTCAGCGGCGAAGCTTGGCTTTGGTGTCGTTGCCAATCGCCCGCTGTTTGTTTCCTATGGTTGTCAAGGGCCCCCCCAAAATCGCCCTCCCCCCCAATCCTAACAGGGGATAACAGTGCTTTTTAGACCCAACGAGGGCAGACACAGGGTTGCTTCAGGCCTAGTCCACATTCATATGTATATATATATATACACATATGTACGCCTGCAAGCGACAGATGAACCATAGGACTGTTTCTCTGCCCGAGTGCAGTGATTATGAACCCTTTGGAGGCGGTTTGCTTTGGGGTCCATCCCATGATTTTACAAGGAAAGCGTGGGTTGCCGAGTCATGTTCTATACGGGTCAATCTTCAGGGTTCTTTCAACCAAACGCAAAGGTGGCTTGCGCCTTGCCTGAGGAGAAGCGGATAGAGCTACGAGTTGCCAAGCGGCGGTTTACCTGCATCGAAGCCCAAAGCTACTTCCGCGTGCAACGCTCTTCGCCTCCGCAATCTGCGATGCCGCTTGACCTATTTGCTCGGGACCAGGATTCGTCTATTTGGGCCATTGGAGGCCGGGGTATTTACAGGTTCGACCCGGGAGACTGAAGCGAACCACCGGTTGGGCTCCAGGGTTTCCAGACGAATGCGGAAGTTCCATACATACCACGATCTGTTGGCGTGCGGTTCATGCAGCTGAACGGTTCTCAGCTACAGGAATTCCTGCCGGCCAGTTGGCGGGCATAGTTTCGGCTGTGCGAAAGGGTCATACACCGTGCTCGTCAAGCTGGTGCAACTTGCCAAGGTTATTGTGAAATTCCATCCTTTCCAGGCGATACTGCTTTTGGTTGACCTAAATCGAATTGTTCTCGTAGCTTGCAATTGGCGATTGTTGATCTCTTGCTGTCTAGGTGTCCTTCTCTGAACTTTCCCAGCCTCCACCCGAAGACCTGCGGGTGCTGGGAGACCATGTTCTTCTAAAGAGGTTCGACTTTGGTGGGTTCTGTGTGGAAGGACATGCACCTTCATGTCAGCAAGGTGATGCCAGCTTGTCGTCAGGTTTAAGATCCTGCGCGCCACCCACTACCGCTGCTTGGAGGACACACCTCCCAGTTGCCCAAAGCGACTCGAGACTTGGTTTTTCCAGACTTGGCTAGCCCATGCCAATCAATGAGCTGAGCAACGTGGGCGTGTGCTTTTTGAGGGCACCCTTCTTGGGGCCACATGTACCCAAGTGGAGGGTTCCAACGCATGCGAGAGGACGCGTTTGCGGCCGAAGGGGTGGGCAACATCCTGCCGGGTGTCACTTGCATGTCCGCAGGCTGGGCCAGGTTCCTTTCCTGGGTTCGTAGTTTTTTTTTTCTTAAAAAACAAAAACAAGTCTATGTTCAATTTGGGGACACGCAGGACTTGCCAATTTTCCAGTGTTCGTCGCGGATAACATTGGCTCATATGAGCACCTCACACTACGTCTCATTAGTTGAGGATGGCTGAATCCTGGGGTTCCAAACGGGCACCAATTGTCCCATGGTTTCTTAGGCAACAAAGAGAGTTGTCTGCGACTCATCTGGGGGATCTGTGAAAACCTGAAGGAAGGCAAAGGATGCCAATGATTGGGGAGGGTGCTGATCCGAGCTCGGTTGAGTAAACACACACACACACATGATTCTGTGGTGATCTTGACTGAATTCGGTTTTAAGATACCACAGAACGCCTCTAGTTGTGCAGGCCCATGCACCCAGTCTTTGTGAGTTGCCTCTACTTGGACCCACTTAGGAAGCGGCCTACAACCATGACGAAAGGAGCAACAGGGATTGGCGGGTGGCAACAGGGATTGGGATTTGTTTCTGTGCATCTTGGGGCTTTGGTGTCTTTCTTTCCAGCCGCTTTCGACCTGGGGCCCCTGGGCCCATTCCGCTTTTTGGGAATTGCAGTACTTTGTCCAGACGGATTTGCAGGCTGACCGGTAGGCTCACACGGGATTCCCTTGTTTGCCCTGGGTCCGCAATCAGCCTATTTTTGTTCCTGGAAAGGGGTCTGTCATTTTTTTCAGTTTTGAGGAAACATCCGTATGGATGAAGTCATTGAAGCAGAATGATACGACAACTAGCCACGTGATTTCTTTTAGAGGGACGTCAGAAGAACAACCACGTTTGTGCCCGTTTAACACATACTCATAGACAGGTAAGTTACCGGACCGCAAACCACGAACCGGTCATAACTATCAAAAAACACACCGGATGCGGGATCTGGAATCCGGGTTTATCCTTTGGCCGTGGGTCAGCATCAATGGCACCATTTTGGGGTAGGTGCACCACCCATTTTAGTCCATTTTAGTGGGGATTGGGATGTTCACTGGGGGGTAACCAGGGTTTCGACCCATAGCCATTTGGAGGGTCGTTTTCTGGGCACGGCACACCCAGAGGCATCGCCTCCTTCCAGCAGCTCTACGGAACCCAACAGCTGGAGCCCGGGCTGGTGGCATTCGAGCTCTCCTCCTGCAAAGCTGAGGCTAGACAGGGGAACCACCAGCCCTTGTTGAGCTTTTTGTTTTTGTTTTTGCGTTGTTTCCAGGATTGGAAGCACCGACTTGTAGACGAAAATTCTGGTTTTGTAGGCGTGTCCTGTCAGGTTTGATGGCAAAGTGGGTGAAAGGAATAGATGGTCCCACCATGAAATTAAAAAACACAAAAAAACAAACCAGCCATTTTCAAGGGCCCTCCTTTTTGAAAAAGCACTGTATCTGGAGGCCTCAGCTGCCCCGGCCCGGCGCGCACCGCCCATTCTGCACGGGAGGGCCGCGGACCCGGCTGACGCAGCGCACGGAGCCGCGGGCGAATCAATGCTGCGCGTGCGGGGGGCCTGGCGCTACCCCACAGAGACCAAGGCGCGGGAAGTTGCGCAGAGCCCGTGGTGGGAAACCGGGCCCTTTTCGTGAATATTTTGAGGAGTTCGCAGAATACTTTTGGGAAGAGTTTCGAGTTCAACCACCAAGCAACGGAACCAATTTTAAGGATGTCACTTTAGCGGACCCAGCAATATTGAGTTTGAGATTGTCATTTTCTTGGATTGCCAAGGGAATTGCCGTGAAAGTCACAGAGTAGGTCAAAGGGATGTGGAGGGATGTCACTTGCAAGCAATGGCTCACTTGATGGGAATGATGTTGGCCCATGCAATTGTGGCTAGCGGGCCATGCTTTTAGTTGGGTTTACTCTCTTTCAAGATAAACCCCTAAATATTATGGGTTGCATATTCATCAGGGTTCAACATAAAATTCCTAAACCCATCCTCAAGGCTGCAGCAACTCCTCAGTTGACCCTGAGCAATCACACCCTTCGGAACATCAGCTGAGGTGACGAGCTTGCCTTGACCCTTACAGGGTGCCCTATTCCCCAACAGCCGAAAGCTTTGGGGTCTCAGCCCAGATAGGCTCCGGGGTGGTCCGGGGCGGCCTTGAGGTAAGGTTCCACGAGGGTTCCACCAGGGTTGCACCATGGTTCCACCAGGGTTCCACCAAGGTTCCACCAGGGTTTCCACCAGGGTTCCACGAGGTTCTCCAGGGCTACAGCATGGTGCTAGCACTAAAAAGAGGACCGCTTGCTGTTGCGAATATCACCTGAGCTTATTGTGTCTTTTTTTGGGAGGGGAATACGCAACGCCTTGTCCTTGTAATCTCAAGCCTTCTCTTCAAGGTTCAAGGTCAGGTTGGTGAAGCCAACCAGGGGCGGCAGATCACGTTTTCGGCCCTTTGAGGTGATTTTTACGGTACCAGTGGTTACCATTTGGATTGGTTGACGTTCCTTTTGTGCTTCACGGGGTCATATCGACTTTCCAGCCAATGGTTCATTTGGGACATGGGCGGACTCACCGAGTCTTCCGCAGGGGGCTGGCGAAATTCCCGTGCGAGTTGCTCACAATGGTGGACACCCAGTTGGTTGGTATTTAAAGGGATACCAAAAGGAAGCTGGCCATGATGGACCCGTAGCCTTGACCATTGACTACTTGGGTTATGTTGAGCCCTGTCAGGGCTTCGGAGAGTTGACGCTGCAGCCGCAGTGGGACCTTCTGGCGAAGAAGAACCCCGACTGGCGCCTTGCCCATTCGATACCCTTTTTCGGGCTTAGTTTAAAGGCAACCAAATGCAAAACCACCATGTTGTTAATCCCCCTAATTTAACATACCCATTTGGGAGGTGGAATCAGGTTAAAGATGTGCTGAAGCTTGCAGTGCTGAATAGTGCGCAGTTTTCAATTTTCCCGGTGGACAACCCTTTAAGTTTTCCAGCACCCATTCTGCACGTTCGGTACCGTGAAGTCGTCTCCGCTTAAATCCTCTACCGGGCTCCTTATATGGGCACGGTATGAATGTTCTGTGAACATGGATCCTTTGGCAGACGTTATTTTCATGGGGGATTTCTCCCACCAATCATTGCGGTGTTCCAAACAGTAAACCCAGTTGTTCAGAGCACCCTTTCTTCCTTCTATAACTGATCAGCCCTCCCTTTTCAGCCGTTCGGGTCAGTGGTTGCAATTGGGTAAGTTTCAATTCTCTGTACGCCATGAGGTTTGGGCATCTTAAAACAAGCTCAGCTAGGGGTTAAACGAGGTCTCCTCATTTCCCTGGTGCGAATTGTGGTGAATCTGATCATGTAGGGTTCTGAAAATTATGGACCCTTTTCCCCGATCCCTTTAAAAGCGGTACATCCGTGGATGGGCTTCGCACCAGTTGGGACGGTTTGTGTTTCAACCATCCTGGCTGGTGCAAATAGAGTTTTGTCCATCCGGGTCCCGCAAAGTCGTTTGGGAGCTATGGATGCTTAAGCACTACCAAACAACGCTTGCAAGGCAGTAACAAGCCCTTATCAAGTGGTATACACAACCCGACGTTTGGCCCGCCAGGTGCTTGGAAGCCACCGCCTTCTGCGTCCTGGGCGAGCAGAGCTGTCCGCTGCCCGACGAGGAGGCCGCGATCGGAGCTAATTTAACAATGACCAACCCGAAAAGGAGCAATGGAATCCCCCGATTTTTGTGCGGTGGCTTTAATTAAGGATCACCTTTTCAAGTCCCTTTTTCAGTGAGTTTCCCGTTAGATGGGGTGACGGTCCACACCAGGTGTCAGTTTGGATTCAAAACCCGAGTTGAATACTAATCGATACACACCACCATTCCCAACTGGTGGGCAGTGCTCACCTGCCCTCCATTGGTTCCCAGAATTCTGCGATGCGAGCCCCTTCCAAGAAGGTTCTAAGGTTTTTTGCTAGGGCCGGGGGGTTCCTCTTTAGGGCCTTGAATGCTGTACATTGCGTGGTTTTGTATATCCTTAGGGATTGGAACAGACAGTTTGCTCCTCGTTTTGATACTGGATTCCCCACCCTTTTGCTGTTCTTGCGAGGGCCGACTGGTTTATTGCTCGTCTTTGTGTGCTGTATTTCGTATCCCTATCAACATTTTGTCCGGCAGGGGTGCAGTAGTACCGAGTTGGAATGGTGGAAACCACACACGGTCATGCAGGATCGCCGCCGGCTCTCAAACCTCAACCATCCACAAAAATAACATTTGGCATAATTTTGGTTGGGGTATGTGTTGCCAGTTGGGAGGAGAGGTGTGCTGGTATGATTTGGTTTCCTGGACTTCCCTTTTTGGTGATTGTCGCATTTTGAGGCAAATCAACAGTTTTCAAGTTGACGACCGGGTTCAAGACAAGCTGGGAGTTTCTCTTGTGGTGGCTCCCTTTTTGGCATGTAAAGGGCAACCAAGAGGAACCCGTTGCCATTGTAGAACTGGTTCCCATAGAACGATTAACTACAGTCGAAAGTCTAAGGTCCTACTTAGAGGTTGCACGTCCATACCGGAGAAACAACCATCTCTCTATATGGCTTGTGTGGTTGGCACAAGGCCCTAAATAATTGGAATGGGTTGCCCGCATCAAGTCAAGATCATTAGATTCTCATGTGTGTAATTATTCAGCCCCTTATGTGAATTGGAGGTGGGGATCCCTACGGGGTCCCCGTCTTTCCTTTTGAAGAAATAGATTTCACCTGTTGAGGCCATGCGAGGTGAGGTCCCCTTGACGTCTAACCGGGGGGACTCGCCTTCAGGGCCTGGAGTTCATCCTGGACCTCGGGGATTCCAAGCCGCGCTGGGGTCAGGTGAAGGTGTGCCTCACCGTGTGGGATGAGGCGGGCAGGGCGGGGCCGCACCCCGAAGGTGATGTCCGCTGGACGCCAACCGTTTTGAGAGACTATGTTGAGAAACCCTGGGCTGGTTCTCAGGGAATCAACCGGGGTCTGGGGAACGCACCAGGGGATCCCCCAAATGAAACCACAAATGGATCATAGGCGGCATTTCCGAAAATTCCCTTACCGTCAGAATGTATTTCGACCATGGCTCACTGCATTTAACGGACAAAAGCACTGGCAGTCTATTGTTGGGGAGGACGTGGGGGGCTCACCACACATTTCCCACAAAACCGGGGAGGGGGAGAGGAGGAGGAATTTTCCTATGTCCTCTTGGGGAAACATCACTTGAGGCTGGTATGCAGGTTCATGGGGGAACTCTTTTGTCATCCCTGGCATTGCCAGACTTTCTTCCATTTTGGGGGGTGGGTTTGACACAGACCTCACCCGGATGTTCAACCTACCCAAAGTAGGTAATTAATTTCGGCCAGCTAACTTCTTCTTCCATTTGTTTCCCTGGTTAAAAGTCTTGGCCGCCTGTCAGCAGGTGGACTCGCGACAGCTGAAACTCGGGAGCTGGAACGCCATGGCCGGACCTGAGTGGGCGCAGAGCCTCCTCTCCGAAGGAGGTCTCTTCACTGGGGTGGTCCAGATCCTCGAGGAGCGCAAGGGCACCTTCACCAAGGCGGTTGTTCTCCCGGGTGGCCGGGAGATTTGGATGCAGATCGACTTCCCCGACAGCATTGCACCAAATGAGAAGCTCACCGTCTACGGCTTCCTTGTGCATCAAGCACCGGATGGAGGCACCCACATCACTTCACAGCCATCTTCGACTTGGTTTGCGCACCGGCCAACCTCGATTGCGGCTTTTTTCAGCACATCAAGGAGATCTGCGCAGGCATGGGAGGGCTCGGTATCGGAGCCTCCCAAGCTGGAATTCAATCGATCGCCCACATGGACCACAACCTGCTGCCAGACCCTCCTCTTGAACGGCGCTCAGAACGTCATCCTCGGCGACGTTTGCAACGACATGGACATAGCCAAACTTCATGGAGCGGGGCTCTTGGGAGCCGGCTTCCCTTGCCAGCCATACAGCTCCCAAGGGGACAGAAAAGGGCCCTAGGACTCCCGCCGTCTCGTCTACCTCGCCACCTTGAGGGCGGCCTGGCTCACACAGGCACCTGGCCTACTTCTAGAATGCGTCCCGGGAGTTCAAAGCCACAGCTTCATCCGGGAGAGCCTCAACATCCTGGCAAAGCTCCTCAACCTCCAGATCAAGACCCTGGTTCTTCGGCTCCAGGATCAATGGCCTTGCAACCGGGTAAGGGGTGGGCTCTCCTCGCACCTCGCGAGTTTGATCGCTGGCTTGAGATACAAACACTCCACGCTCACCTCACCGGCATCGCACCACAAAACACCTACACGGGCCTTTCGCAGCCAGATCGGATCTACACACAGCTTCACTACTTGGTTCGCTGACCACAGAGCACTCAGTTTCACCTTTCAACTCCCAGACACCGCTACTGGCTACTGGGCCTGGCCACTTCCTTCCCAGATCCCCTGGACTCATGTTCACATACCAACCTCGGGCTCGGGCTGTACCTCGGGCTCGTACCTCGGGCTCTAACTGTGCCTCGGGCTCGGGCGCTGCCTTGGGGGCAGGCTTGGGCTTGGGTGTTGCCTTGGGCTTGGGGGCTGCCTTGGTCAAGGGTGCTGCCTTGGGTGCTGCCTTGGGCGCTGCTTTGGGCACTGCTGCCTTGGGCTTGGGCGGAGGGCTTTGCCTTGGGCGGCGCTGCTCTGGGAAATCTCACCCTCTTGGGCCGGAAGGGGGAGTCGATTTCGTATGCTGGCTCTGTGGGCAGGTCGGGGATGCTCTTCGGCAGGGGCGTGGCCTGCCTCTGAGCCTCACCTTAGGTGGGACACCGCAGACCAATTCGCACTCCTCGGCGCCACATTCGAGGCAAGCCTTGACCAACACCTGTATGGCAGCCAAAGTCTCCGACTACCACAAGCCTGCCGGGGACGAGCCAACCTGGGTCCCAGACGTCGCCAGCCTCAAGCGCCAACCCTACGACCAAGCCGACCCGGAGAAGAACGACTCTGCTCCGATGATGTCGGCCGAGCAGTACTACGCTGGTTTCGCCAACTACGAAGGCTACAAAGCCTTCTTCACTCACTTCGAGCCGATGGACAAGGACCCACCCATCAGCTCTACAGAGTCGAACTTTGGGGCTCCATCCTTCGAGCCCACGGATTCCACCCATCATTTGCCGACTGGTGGCCAACAAGAAAACATCGGCTCCAAGCCAGCCCAACTGAACTCCCGGAAATTGTCCCTACCCTCGACTCCATCGAGGGCATCTACCGGGACTTCCAGCATAATTTCCGGAGCTTCGAAAGCTGGAACCTTCGTCAGAAGCTCAAGTACAACAAAGCGAGGGTGATCGAACACCATCACCGCATCTTCAAATCCATCAAGCCCGCGAAAAGGGAGACCATCGACATGCTCAAGGTCAAGGAGTCGGCAACCATCCTTGCGGTCTCCCCGGACGCAGATCCACATCAACAAGCCTCTGCCGACATCTACAAGCGCTACCTGGTGGGTCGACACTGCCCCAGCTACAGTTACCCCCATCACGGCAGACACCTTCAAGGTTGACACCGATCTCCTCCTTGTTGCGGGGCAACAACTCCACCAACACAGTCACCTTGTAGAGGAATCCAAGATCCACACGGCGCTCGGCCAATTCTGGACTACCCGATGGAGCAAACACGCCGATCTACCGGAACACGCCTGGAAGCGAATCTTTGACTTCGTCAAGGCTTTTGTTCCCAAGGCGCACATCCCACTACCACGACTCACGCTCCCTCTCTGGAAAGAAGCCATTGGGCGCTTCCGGAAAAACACGGCCCGCGGACCTGACGGCTATGGCGCCTTCGATCTCCTCAACATGCCTGCCGAGCTTACGCAGGCCCACATCGATCTGCTCACCCAAGTTGAACAAGGAGCTCAGTGGCCCAAACAGCTGCTCCCAGTTTCGCCCCATCATTGTTCTCAGCCTCATCTGCAGGACCTGGTCATCTATACGAGCCCGACAAGCACTTTCCCACCTCGCTCAACTCATGGATTGTCCGGCGTATGGGTTCCTTCCTTCCAGAGAAGCTCAGGAACTATGGGTACCACTTCAAGGACTCATCGAAGTTCATGCTAAGCGGGGCCAGCCCTCGGTAGGGTGCGTCGCGGATGTTGAGAAGGCCTTCAACCATCTACCACGAGATCCCATCAAGCAGATCGCCAAGCACGTCGGGCTAGGAGGTGACTTCGTTGAGGCGTGGCACCGATTCCTCATTGGCTTTGCTTCACGCTTCAAGATTCGGGACACCATCCCCTTAGCTGCGTCGCCATGGTCCTCACGGACTGGTGCTACCACCTCTATCAATCCAAATTCGCTCCGAGAGCTACATCGGCATCCTTCGTCGACAACCTTGAGCTTGTGGCGCATCAACCCGGGGCCCTCTTCCAGGCCATGATCTCCCAGGAGACCTTCCTCCACATGTTCCAACTCAAGCTTGACAGTGACAAGACCTACGTCTGGGCGCTCACCGCCCAACATCGCTCACAGCTTTTACCGCTGGCCCGCTTGCAGGCCTCGACCAAAGCATCGACCGCGCGGAGTGACAGCCGCACTGCGTGCGATCCGTTGGACCAAGCAGTCCCAAGGCAGCACCATCCTCTGGACCGTCTCATCCTATGTTGCTGAGAGAACATGGTGCCTTGCTGCTGACCCTCACGATATGCCAACAAGATCCAACACCAACCTTTGGAGGTCCTTCGCGGCCGCCGCCCGCACCAGCTCAAGGTCCGGCACATTGCAGGACACGGCCATCCAGACCAGTGCGAAGATCCGGCTGAGGCATGGTTGACGCGCTGGAACTGCATAGCCGATGACGCTGCAAAGCATGCAAACACACATCGTGACCCTGCATTTCAACGCCTTTGGCAGCACTATGAAGACGCTGAACAGGACCAACTGCACCGCCTACGGCAGCTTCAAGCTCTTCACCTTGATGTTGCACAGGCCAATGAGGCCTACACAGCCTCGGAGCCGCCCACAACAGAAGATGCTGAACCCCTTGCTGACGATGGTTTCGTTCCCATCGAGCACAGTGAGGCACAAGTGAATTGGATCACCTCCCTTCCTCCGGATTGGCTCACCAGTCTTGAGGATTCAAGCATTGAATTCAGGTTCGGGGTGCGGTTCCCAGCCCAAGTTCTGCACTGGCTCAGCCAAGAAGCCAGTGAAGCTCCGTGCGCTTTGCATGTGTCTTGGATTGAATGCGTTGTAGTTCTCAGAACTGCCGGCATCGTTTTTCCTGTGCCCGCGCCAAGCCCTCATAGCGAGGCATGGCGGGGTCCTGACACAGGCACCTTTGCCCAAAACACCCTTGCTGCTGACATCCATTTGATCCGTTCCCTGTTTCGTGCGTTTGCTGGCCATTTTGTTTTGGACATCGGTGAAGTGTGTGGACTAAACTTGTCCACCTTGGGGATTGGGCCCCCGCAGGCAGGACTTCCTGCAGGAGTGCTCGCTCGAGCCAACAAAGAGCTTGGAGCGTTTTGCAGCTGCCGGCCGATAAAATCATCAAATGATCTTACTCGGCCTTTTTGGTAGTGAACCGACAAGGACGTGTGCCGCACTGCATCCGCTGTGCGCGCACCGCAGAGACGTGAGTGTGTTTCCCTGGTTATGCCCTACTTGCCATGGTAGCAGGATGATTGCCTTGCCACTGCTTGTCACTTGCCGTTTTTCGTGATGATTCTCAAGCCTCTTTATCTTCAGAATTCATTTGTCTGCAGAAACCTGCGATTTCCTTCAGACACCTGCAATTGCCATCGCCCGGCGCCAAGGGTGCCAAGGGAACTTTGCTTGGCAGGGTGAGTTATAGTCAGAGGCTGGGTTTTTGTCGTCCGGAATTTCCCCACATTTACCTGCATCTATGAAGGCTTTAGTTGCCGCACCGGGTTTCTCCAGTGGGGCACCCCCCCTTCGAACAGCCGCTGGGTTGGTTTTTCCTTTGCACTAGGGTTTCGGATGTGGCAAAGGTTGGGCAAAACTTGTTTAAACAACCACACCTTGGTCCCTTCAAAGGGGGGGCCACAAGGCTTGTGGTTGTTGAGGCAGTTCGGACATCTAGCGTAGTGGCTATTGTGTCAGCAGCCTTGTTGTGCTTTTCCCCTAAAAGCCCTTGTCTCTGTGTGTGTAAGGAGCTATGTGGCGTCGTCGTCTTTTTTGAGGCTACCTGGACCCTCATTGAGAGGGATGGGGAGGGTGTTTGTGTGTGTGTTTCAAAACCGCTCTGGCCCAATCCTTGTGGCTCAGGTGGTGCTGCGCACGGCCCGCAGCGCCTTCTTCGGCCAGGCCTGGCTGCCGCCGCTGTGGCAGGCAGGGTTGGTCGATCGGTTTAGACCCTGCCCTTTGAAGGGGAGCACAAGGGAACTAGACGCTGGTTGTTGTTTAAAGGGAACCATACACTGGCTTTAAGGGGAAGAGGAAGTTGTTATTGTTTGGCTGGCGTTACAATCGTCGAAGCAAGCGGCGTCGCCCAGGCCGGCGGTGAGGTGCGGCTGCCGCTTCTTCGCGGAGCGGCGTCCGCCGCTTCCGCGGGGGAGTTGTCCGTGTCCGCCAGCTGGGAGTACCCGGCGGCGGGCACGGAGTCACAGGCCAGAGGGATTGGGCTTCGAAGCACGAAGCAGTATGAGTATATAGTATATGTATTATGTGCAACATATATATATATATATATACACACACGCATGTATACACTATATACACTCTGATTGGCTTATTTTTCCACACCTGTGGATTAAGAAACCCACATGAAGCGAACAAAAAGTAACAAGGCTGGACTTGGTGGCTTTTTTGGGGACGTGACAACCCCGCCTCGGGGAGGGGCGCCTGGCTTTGCGTGGGCTGTCGCTGTCGCCTTGCCCGGGCCCGGCCTACGTGGTGGCGCGGGTCTTCCATCAGAGCTGCCGGGGAATTGAGGGCTGCGGCACGCACAAAGTGGTGCTGAAGGCGGCGTTGTCCGCACAAAGTGTCGTTTTTCTTTCAAGCGGTGGGGTACAGAAAGACTTCCTTTGGAGTTTCCTTTGGGGTTTCCTTTGGGAGGTGCAGTTGGGGGTTTCCTGCCAAATTTCCTTTGAGGTTTCCTTTCGGGTTCCCTAAACCATCAGCAACAGGGGGAAAATGCATAAACAAAAAAGCACATGGGGCTTCTTGAGTTTCCTAGGTTTCTGTCAGGTTTCCTGCAGGGTTGCTTTCAGATTTCTGCATCTTTACCCTAGGTTTCCCTTGCATCCTGGACGTCCCTGAGGTGCCCGTGTCCGGCGCCGGAGGCGGCGCTGCCGGCCGAAAGAAGGCGCCCAACCCGGCGCGCCTGGGGGATGAGCGCCCGGAGCCAGTGCTCAGGCGCTGCGGATTTTGCACTGAGCACACATGATCACGCATGTTCTTTTTTTCCACTGATGGTCACGTGAAATGAGCTGATCCATTACGTGACATTTTCTCTGAGCAATTGCGCGGCGGATCAGTTCATTTTTCCACTTTTTTTTCCATCTTCAGGAATCTTTCGAGCTTGACGTTGGGAGGGAGATGTGTCTTAGGTGATCTGGACATTCTGGTGGGTTTGATGTTTGGTGTATGTTTTGTTGTTTGGCAGTACATCATTGGATCCCACTTTAAAGGAAGCATCCCTCAATGTTTCTGGATCCAGACATTGCACCCCTTCTTGGACAAAATGGCCTGGTCCTGCCAAGAGTTTTGATTCTTTTTGGAGGCATGTCACACTAAATCAAGGGTATGTTTTCGCGAAAACAGAGGAATGCGGAAGAGGAACACAGTGCAAACCTTTCCCCAAGTCTTCATTGACTCTGGTAGAACCAGAGGGACACAGTGTTGCAAGCCTTTCCCCATCTTTTGTTTGACTGATGCTTCATGCTTCAGGGTGGCTACGCCAAAGACCAAGCGCTCGGAGGTCCGCTTTGTGGTGCCGGGGAGCTTGGCCGCTCGGCGAATCTCGTGGGCTTCTGGGGTGGGGTTAATGTCAGAGGCGAAGGGACCATGAGGATTTTTGGGTACTTGAAGCCACTTTTCAGCCATGCTCACCAGAGAATAGTAGCGTACCTCCAGTACACTCCTGCAATAGAGGCTCGAATATAATGGGATGAAGGAACCCATAAAACCACGACTCGACTGGTAAGTGAATTTTGTTCATAGCAGTATAGTGTCTCCTACAATCATATGTTAGTTCTTAATCCACAGCCCCACTCTAATTGTGTCCTGATAGTACCTTTTGGCCGCGTGGGTATGACATTTGACCAGGGACCATTAGGTCTGGAGGGATTGTAATAATTTAGTTTGGGGATGGATTCCATCTTCACCACTATGCAAGGATTTTGTTTGTCCAGTTGGTGCATGGCCTCTTGAATGCAACTTCAGTTTTCGTGTTCGTAGTATCATCCCAAACACAGTATTGTAGTATCTAACCCCCGTTGTTTTTTGTTTAACCAATCCCAACATACTTTCGGCCCCTCGGGAAGACAAACATACACCAAACCCGGACGCCTGTTTGGTGTCTGTGTGTGTGTGTGTGTGCTTGCGTGTGTGGGGGGCTGGCAGGAGACGTTTCCCCTGATTTTGGTGATGTGGGGGTGTCCTTCTTTTTGGAGGGTGCCCTTCTCGGTGTGGTTTTAAAGGGAACCGAAAGGACACCCGCCAATTTTAAGGGCCCCTTTTTTGAGACACACCTTTGTTCGTTCGTTCGTTCGCTTCTTTGTTTGGTTGTTTGTTTGGTTATTTGTTTGTTTGATTGTTTGGATGTTTGATTGTTCGTTTGTTTTATTGTTTGTTTGCTTGTTTGTTTGTTTGTTTGTTTGTTTGTTTGTATTTGCGTGTTTTTGTGCTTGTTTGGTTGCTTTGGTTGGTTGGTTGCTTGGCGGCGCCTTATGTTTCTCGGTCTCACGTCCTCGAGGTGAAGCTGGGCCGTCGCCTGCGCTTCGCGGGGCTGGACTGCGCCATTGTGGACTCGTTGCAAGCGGCGCAGCAGCAGGCGGCGGCAGAACGCCGTCACCTGCCGCGCGGCGGAAGGGTGGGAGCTGACGTAACTTTGACCAGTGTAAATAAACATCTCTCTATATATATATATGTATGTATGCATTATGCATGTATGTTTTTGCATGTGTACATGTATGTATACTGTACATATGTGTGTATATATATATGATATATCTATATATACACATACAAACTGCATATAGCAGTAGCCAGTGTATTTGGTTTCATGTCCTGTTGCACCCAGGAAGGTTTCTTTGCCAAGCATCTATGGACACCAGCGTTTCATTTTGGGTGCGGGGAATCGGACATTTTCATTTTCCACGGGAAGCGGACCTCTCTCCGTCGGATGTGGGGCTCGGGCTTTCAGGTTGGTGTTGGAGGGCTCTCGCTCCCCGGGCATCGCGCTGCCACGGAAAGCCCTGGAGGTAAGCCGTGCGGGGGGACCGGGGGAGAGCTTGTGGAAGCCAGGAAAATCTACGGGAAGGCCAAAGGACCTGCCAAAAAACCAGGGGTTGAAGAGCACCTAGACATTCATCTTCTTCAGCTTTTTTACGCTTGGATGGGAGGACTCTTGTGTCGTGTTGTGGCATAGGTTCTCCAGCAAAAGGGGACCCGCTAAAAAGGGTGGATTGAGTTGTTCGTGAAACTTTCCATCAAGTTTTCGCTCAAATGGGCAAGTCGCCCTAGGTAAAGGGCAGGTTGCCCGGGGAGGGGGGGGGGTGGTGAAGCAGGGGCAAAGCTACCCACTGATCTATCTTCCAGATGATCAGCAGAGGTGGCTTGGCATGCCAATGGGCGAGTGCATGGATGACAACAAGCAGTTGGGTGTGTCAAATCGGAGCTGAGTTTGTTTTCACATGGGGGATTTTCCCAACATGAGAGGGGCTGAGAGGCTCATAGCAAGGCTTTTATTTTTGTGGAATGGAATCGGCTCTTGACCTCAACGGTGAGCAGTGTTTTCCATGTCTGACCATTCTCAGCCATTTTGGCTATGAGCTGCCCAGGGGGCACATACGTATGTGAGGAGTGAAAAGGCGCCATGTCTGGTGGAGTTCATAGTGGTAGCGGAGCCTCTGCGGAGGCTCAGGGAAGTGCGAATGGTCAGACGACAGAGGGGTTTCGAGACCGCGACCCACCACCCAAGTTTGCTGGAGAGTCACCAGAGGAGTTTCGCAGGTGGCTTCGTGATCTGGCGCTGTGGAGGCATGAGACAGACGTGATTCCGACCAAGCAGGGCACCAAGTTGTTTCGCAACCTCAGTGGCTCTGCAAGAGATGCGGTGGATGAGCTGCCGGTGGAGACGATCATCTCGGAGCGTGGCGTGGAGGCAATCCTGGAGAAGCTGAAGGAGCACTATCAGCCATATCTGGAGACAGCCATGCCAAAGGGCTTCGAGAGGGCCATCTACGGGGAGGCGCGCAAGGGCAAGGAGCAGTTGAGCAAGCACATCATCCGGGTTGAAGCGGCCTTTGCGAGGCTACAGGAAGAGGGCGTCAAGCTGCCAACCGAGGTGAAGGGCTATGTGATGTTCCGGCAGGCGGCGCTCGCGAGTGTGCAGGAAGATCAGGTGACTACGTGGACCTCGGGGAAGTACGACCGGGAGACGGTGGTCGCGGCATTGCGGAAAATTGGAGAAGGTGCAGAAGGAGAAGGGAGGTCGTAACTATCTCGTGGACGGTCACGAGGGCACGAACGAGGTCGGGCACGAGGGCACGTTCTTGGCAGAAGAGGATGAGGGCTCCGAGGATGGCTACATATACCTTGGAGAAGGGGACTTGAATGCCGCGGAGAAATGGATGAGGTCGCCAAGGCCAAATTGAGATCATCCCCGACCGCGTCATTTTCGGGAACTTCCGTGGGCAGCCAACATGGATTTTACCTTACGGCCAGTCCACCAGAGGACGTGTGCCTGTATCTCCGAGACTACTCCATCGCGGGCTTCATGCCTCGGAAAAAGGAAGCGCCGCAAGTTTGTCCGTTTGTGGGGCTCACCACGAAGGGAAACCTTGGGATTGTCGACACAGCTGCGCAAGGAAGCCTTATAGGGGAAGCAGCTTTGGGTCGGCTTGAGGAAGAGCTCAAACAGTTTGGACTTCGCCCGCACAAGTTGGACAAGCAAGGGAGAGCCAGAGGAGTCGGCGGGCAGGCGCAAGTCGTGGCAGTGGTGGAAATTCCGTTGGGGCTTGCGGGAGTTTGTGGAATTCTAGAAGTTACCGTCGTCAAGGAGGAGGTTCCCCTGTTGCTCCCCATTTCGTTGTTGAAAGAGCTGAAAGCGGTGATTAACCTGGAGGAGATGAACCTTCACTTGAGTGCCGAAGGGAAGCAAACCCCGCTGGTTTCATTTCACACGGGTCACGTGGGAATCGACATCTGCAACTTCGGGAATCATGGATGGACCCTTCCCCAACAAGCCAAGCAACGTGGACGTTCGGATGAGATGTTTCGAGAGAAATCTCATGGAGTGTGTGGAACGGTGAATTTTCCAGCCATGACAGCTCCGAAAGGGGCAAAGTGGCCCACCAGTTTCCTCACTCACAGCCATGAGCCTGTTCGAGCGAGCCGTGAAGATGCACCTGGAGCCCGAGGACAAGAAGGAAGAGAAGCCGGAATTCGTGTACAATTCCAGGCGGGCAGTCAAGAACTGGAGAGTGGTGCTGCAGCAGCTCTTCGACATGATCGCAATCGTCGCCAGAATGTCAGCACAAGGGGCACTCGGTGGGGAATCCGGTGGAGTCTCTATTGGACCTTCTTCTTCTACGGCACCGGTGCTCAAGGAGTCGATCTTCAAAACCTCCTACACGCACATGCACAAGCCCGCGATCGCCTCGGACAAGCAGCGGCGCTATGCGGAAATCATCAAGGACGCACCAGTGTTACCTCCACGCAACTGCAAGGAGCCCCCAAAGGCAAGTGCGTGCACTCGGCAGAGCTGCTGAAGGGAGCCGGGAATCAGTACTCTCGGGTGTGGTGCGCAGGATGTCATCAGCGGTGGCACCTCACGAAAGCACAGATGGAACAAACCAAGCCCGCGAAGGAGAAAGCCAAGCCACCGATCGAGACGGCGCCCGAAACCACAGTGATGTGCTATTGTGCGAGGCCGGCAGAGAGACTGCTTGTGAAAAAGGAGGGACCTCGCAAGGGAAGAGCATTCTGGAGGTGCGTCCAAAGACAGTGCGACTACTTCTGGTGGGAGCCACTGAAGGAGGACCCGTACAAGAGGAATCGGCAGCTGCTGGCGTTCGAAGAGATGGAGGCGGAGAAGCTAGAGCGCGTGAAGCTGGAGGTAGTGCAAGAGGCGGAGAGACGCTATCAGGAGATCATCCAGGCCCAGCAGCACCAGATACATGGTTGGGCCCAGCAACAGGCAGAAGTGCACACCACGCAGGTTCAGGCTCCAGTCCCAGGTGATGTTTCTGACGGCGGCCATGGGAGAAGAGAGGATGCGGCAGATCATGACCGATCCACAGGCGCGACAGACGGCGTGGGAGCAGGTGGAGCAGCTGCGAGATCACTGGAGCCAAGTGAGCCAGAATGTGGGGATGGAGGACACCACCAACGACGGCATCTGAAGGCCCAAGACGAGGTGGAGAATGCCCCCTGGGCCCAAGAAGCTTCAGAACCAGTGGTGTTTGATGCAGTTGGAAGATGAAGAGAAGCCAGACTACGCCAAGCGAGTGAAGTCAGGATGCTGGAAATGGAAGGAAGACGTTGAGTGAGGAGGAGAACGTGGGCACGCTTCGCAGCAAAGACCGAAAGAAGATCTCACGGAAGATGAACGAGATGGTGGTGTCGGAAGTTTTCTCACCCCCAAGGGTCTCCAACGCGGCAGCGAAGCTCGGGATGTGCAAAGGCACCGCGTTCGACCTGATCACCGGGTACGATTTGACGGACGACAAGCGAAGATGCATGCAGCAGTTGGCGGCCGAGGATCCGGATCTTGTAGTACTCTGTCCACCACGCGGGCCCTTCTCTTCGCTTCAAGAATGGAACTATCCCCGCATGAATCCCAAGAAGGCCTTCGTGATGCTGGCTGAGGGCATTGAGAACCTGGAGTTTGCAATGAACTTTGAGTGGCAAGTTCGAAGGGGCAGATGGGCGCTGTTCAAACATCCGACCACCTCAAGGGCATGGCGCAAGTCCGCGGTGAAGCGAGTGTTGTCATTACCTGGAGTGCGTCGGGTTCGAGGAGATCAGTGCATGTATGGACTACAACTTGGAGGAGGCATCAATAAGAAGAGCACGGACTTCATGGTCAATGGCGGCAAGATGGAGAAGTATCTCTCTAAGAGGTGCGATGGCGGCCATCAACATGTACCTCTTCTACACGGACTAGCTCGTCATGCTCAAGAATATCCACATAAGCTCTGCGTGGCCATGGTCAAGGGCGCGCTTGAAGACAAGAAGGAGAGTGAGAAGGTAAAACCCACGGTGGGGTGTTGACGACTACCAGGTTGCGAGGCGGAGGACGAGTGGCATCTTCCGCAGATTTTCCATGGAGGAGCAGCTGGATTTGGGATGAGCACGGCTGGAGAGAGCTGGAAAGTAGAGTGCTTTGGGAACCCCAGAGAGCTGATCGACTACCCGGAGGAGTCGCCCCGATTTTGGTGTCTATCTTTCACCCGAACGAGTTCGCGGTGTACGCACAAGAGGAGGACATGGACGACGGCCCTAACTTGGATCAAGAAATCGAGGCAGAGGAGCAGATTGCAGAGGCCAGAGAGGGGCATGGGATAAGGGACATGCCCGTTGCGGGCGATGAGGAGCAAGAGCGTGCAGCAGAGGAGCTACCCGGAGAAGATCACGACCGAGGACTGACGGAGAGAGACAAGAAAATGGTGAAGGAGCTGCATTCCAAGATGGGACACCCAGCCAATGCGGACTTTGCAAGGATGCTTCGACTGGCTAGAGCACGAACTCCAGTTTGGCGGTACGCGCAGAAGGAGTTCGAGTGCGACATCTGCAAGGGGCAGCAACGCCCAAAGGCGGCACGCCCATCTGTTCCCCACCTACATGCCTGGCGCCAGGACAAGTAGTGGGAGTTGACGTGGTGTTCTTCCCGGGAGTGAACCCGAGGGAAGCCCATCCTGTGCTGAACATCATTGACTGGGGAAGCTGCTATCAGATGCTGGAGCCGTTGGAGTCAAAGAGTTCTGCTGCTGCATGGTCTGCATTTCAGAGGAGCTGGATGCGCACCTTCGGAGTACCTCAGATCGTTATATGCGATCAAGGCAGAGAGTTTCTCGGGAGTTTTGCGGAACAACTTATGCAGATGGGTTGTGCTCACAAAACCATTGGGGCACGTGCCCCATGGCAGCAAGGCAGAACAGAACGGCATGGAGGCTTGGCGAAGATGGTGTTCCTCAAACTTCGTGAAGAAGACCCACCGAGCAACTTAGAGGAATGGAAAGCCTGCATCTTTGCCGTAGAGGCGGCCAAGAATCGAATGTATCACAAGAGCGGATACAGTCCAGCCCAGAGACAGTTGGGGGAAAACGTGAGGCTACCTGGGACGTTGGGCAGCGACGACGTCTATGACCCAGCACTCCTTGTCGCCGGCGCAGGAGAGCAAGTGAGAAGGATCCTGGAGATGAGGAGGAAGGCCATGGAAGCCTTCGTCCGATGCAGTGCAGAAGAGGCCATCAGTAGAGCGCCCAAGGCGAGACCACGAGTGTTGAGGGAGTTCTTGGCGGGCGACCTGGTGTACGTGTATCGAACTCCTTTGCCGCGGAAGCGCAACAGAAATGAGGAGGATCGTCCAGAAGCTCGAGAACTTCGTCGACCAGTGTGGACCTGGCGTGGTGGTGTCCAAGGAGGGTCCCAATGTGTGGATCGCTATGCGAGGAGAGCTGTGGAAGTGTGCCTGTGAGCAAGTGAGACTGGCGACCAATGTGGAGCACGAGGCACACGGCATAGAACCTCCTGCGGGCCGGCGTCGACTACATGGACTGGGAAGTGCACCGTCTGGGACGAGTTCGAGTGGCACTACATCGTCTACTACGACGTCGTCATCAAGTTCCTCGTCTACGCCTGGAGAGGAGTTAGAGGAGCCAGAGAGAGAGGTGAGCGGTGAAGCTACTGCGACGGTACCGTCGAACAACCCGCCCATGAACCAGCCGGAGGTAGATGGAGGTGGCACCGCGGAAGCATCCGGAGAGCATGGAGGATATGGACCGGTGAGGACGACCCTTATGACACTGGACTATGGTGCGTGACGGACGAGCTGAAAGACGTGGAGGAGCAGCAGACCGTGCCTCTTGACGACTACTGGGAGTACATACCCCAGCAGCGTATTCTCCGGCGGGTGCACCAAGCGGAGAGAGCTGGTGGATTGTGCCATCACTGCAGCGAGGATGTCCAATACCGCCGAACAGGCTCAAGTCGGTCCCGGTCCGGAGGACGTTCATGGAAGTTTCTGGAGGTGGTACGTATGTCCAGAGGGGGAATTGGCGGTCGCAGAAAACCTATGTGGCAGAAGGTCCTCCAATCTGGTGGCGAGGCTACACCGACTTCTACGTGCAGGGCAAGGACGACGAGCTGCACGACTTGGTGAAGAAAGGATCTGACGAGGTCCGAGAGGAGGAAATTTCGCCAGAGGATTGGGAAGGTTGGCGAGTTGCTGACAGAGAAGAGTGGAGCAAGGTGCGAGCCACGGAAGCTGTCAAGGAGCTTTCGGTGGAGGAATCGCGCGAGATTCGAGAACAGCTCAATGAGGCCAACCTCACCGCGCGTATTCTCCCGTCTCGAGTCGTTAGGAGGTGGAAGCCCGCAGATCAACCGGGACAACCCCCAACAAAGAAATCGAGGTGGTGTGTGCGAGGAGATCGCGATCCCGATCTGCTGCTACTAGATCGGCACGCTCCTACCGTTACCGCCAGCAATGTGGCCATCGCGATGCAATTGGCTGCGTGCAAGAAGTGGAAGACGGCGGTTGGAGACTTGAAGAATGCTTTCATGCAGTCCGAGCGTCTCAAGCGAGCTGTAGGCAGACTGTTTGCTTCGCAACCACGAGGAGGTCTCCCTGGTCTACATCATGAGCAACTCATTGAGATCCTGGCGGGGGCGTATGGCTTGGGAGATGCTCCAGCCCATTGGAGACGCAGTCTAAAGAAGGTGTTGCTGTCCTTGGGCTTTTCTCAATCCAAGGTGGATCCATGCACCTTGGAGAAGGAGAGGGGCTACAAGAAGGAGCTGTCGGGTTTGGTGGTAGTAGAGGTGGACGACTTGTTGTGCATGGGTGGCGACACCTACTTCCAGATCATCGAGCAGTTGCGGAAGAAGTTCACCTTTGGAAAGTTCGTCTTCCTTAATGAGTCCCCGGCGGGTGTATCCTTCAATGGTCGGCGGTTGAAAAGCGATGGGAAGGGAGGATTTCTCATCGACATGAAGAAGTTTATCACCGAGCGCCTCTTTCCGGTGGAGCTGGAACGTGGTCGGAAGTCTATGCTGAAAGAACCTGCCACCCAGACGGAGCGGGAGGCAGCCCGAGCAGCGGTGGGAGCCCTGACTTGGGCTGCCTAGGAAGGAAGGCCGGATGGTGCAGCTACCGCCAGTTTGATCGCTTCGAGCCTCAAGACGCTGACCGTGGAAGATATCGTCGATTTGAACAAGTGCATCGAGAAGATGAAGGAATCAGCTGGACGTGAGCTACGCATTCAGCACATTGCCGAGGATGAACTTTGCTGGGGTGTCATCACTGACGCCAGCTACGCCAACGTGCGAGGAGGCCGATCTCAAGGTGGGTTTTGCATTGTGGTTTATGAGAGAAAGGTGGCCCGTGGAGAAGTTGGGAAAGGCAATCTGCTGCACTGGAAGAGCTCCAAGATCCACCGAGTAGTCAACTCTACGCTTGCGGCGGAGACGCAGGCGATGTTTGGGGGACTGTCGGAGTTGATGTGGGCAGTGACGGTGTTCCAGGAGTTGGTGGACCCCCACTTCGACATGAAGGAGTGGCAGCAGCATCTGAAGAACCAACGCATGGAGTCCCATGCATCGGCCAGCTCATCCGAGGAACTGAAGAACCTGGCCATCACCGATGCCAGGTCGATCTTCGATCATCTCACGAAGGAGTCCTCGGGATATGCGGCGGACAAGAGGACCGCCATCGAGATGCAGGTGATTCAACAACATCTTCGTGAATCAGGAGCCCGCGTGAAATGGGTGCCTAATCCGGCTATGATAGCGGATGTCCTCACCAAAAGAGGTGGGAACTCCGAGCCTCTGAGCGACTTGCTGGATTCCGGCAAATGGAGTGTAGTTGAGGTCAACAAGAATTTTAAGTGAGCTGTGGAATGGAATCGGCTCTTGACCTCAACGGTGAGCAGTGTTTTCCATGTCTGACCATTCTCAGCCATTTTGGCTATGAGCTGCCCAGGGGGCACATACGTATGTGAGGAGTGAAAAGGCGCTATGTCTGGTGGAGTTCATAATTTTGGAAACACCTGTTTTACAGTGAGTCTAGTGAGTCTATGGCTGATATCACAGCAAAGTCAGGGACTATAGGCGAGTGGGTTGTACTCAGCCTGCGCGGCAACCCGTCTGCCAGTTCTGCAGGTGCAGGTGCGTGCAGTCATGCGCATGCGTTGCTTTGTGTTACTTGAACTTGGCAGCTGTGCATCGTTTCTACATTTTCTTGACCAATCCTGCGAGTAGGAGTCGCAGTCGAGCCAACTGCCACTGCGCACGCGAGCATTTGCCGCACAATGTCGCAGAGCCCCTTGGATTACTGTGGTTGGGGCCCGCACCCCCCATCTCACGGTTAGAACGGAGAAGTTCCTTTCAGTTAGGTTGCAAGTTTGTGAGAAACTCCCAACCCAAGTTGGCGCAGTCAAACGCGTGGCCGAGTGACCCTTTAGGAGCAGCTGCAGTACGTGTTGGACCACCTGGGCCTTTGGTTGGACCCCTCCTCCATGGCCTCCCGCTGTGCCGAGTGCAATGGGCACCGCTTCCGCCTCGCAAGCCGAGAAGAGATCGCGGCATCCGAGGCGGGGGCAGGGGGTCCTCGGAGCCTTAGGTTCTTGATGGGCGAAATCCACTTGGATTGCACCGTCTGCCACGTGCGTGTTTTTCTCATGTATACCACATGAAACCCGATTGGAATACTTGGAACCTGTGTGGAATTTGTTCGTCCACAGAAGGCTTCAATCTCCTCCCTGGAAAAAAAACTATCTCCCAGGCACCTGGCCTTTTCCTCTCTCTCACAACACCTTTGGAGGAGACCCCCCTCTGACAGGAGCTGCACGCTAGCACCTTGGAGCGGTATTCGGCGCCTCGGCTTTGATTAGGCTTCAATGCAGGGCGCGAGGTTCTAATTTCTGGTGTCGGCCCCGCGAGGGGGTCGTGGGTTTTCCTAGATCAACAAGATCAGGCATTTGTGGGCAGTTGTGAGGAACACTGAAGCGCACCCGCTCAGCACTGCACTTACCCTGCCGAATGGCCCGTGCGCTCGCTCAAGTGCGCCCGCTCAGCACTGCGCACACGCCTGCAAAATGGTAAGCACACCCGCTCTGCGCGCAGGAGCACATCGCGATTTGCGGAGCTTTTTTGATGGACAACCCAGGGGTAAAACCCACGACCCCTTTCGCGGAGTTGCTACCTTGGTTTTTCCTCGTTTTGTTGAGGTCTTTGCTAGGTGTGGTTTGAGTTCATTGGTTTGGTCAGGGTTGATATCTGAGCACCTTGTGCAAGGCATGAAGTTGGCCAGTGGAAACCCTCTTAGAAGCTTAGGGCCAGGCCCTGTTTTGAGCCCACCACAGCCGGCCGTGCGCCGCTTGAGGAGTTTTGGCGCTGCTGCAGCTGCCGGAAGCTCTACTGGGAGGGCGGGGCCTGGTGCCGGTCCCTGCGCGCCTTGAAGCCGAGCGAAGCGGAAGCGGAAAGTGGAAAAGCGCTTCCCCTGCCCGACAGGGTGTTCCCCAATAGAAGGGTTCTAAGAAGCGGGTTCGGATCGTTTGCACCCAAGGAGAATCACATGTGTGTGAAGCATCCAAGCACCCAAGGGCCCACTTGGATGGGGAGACCGTGGGAACCTAAGGGAAAACCCAAAGGAACTCAACTGTTCTGGGTCCATTTTCTTATTTAGAGACAAACACTTGTGAGGTTGCCAAAAGTAGGCTTCGGCCCTTTTCAATGCGTCAAGTGGCATTGATGGAGGAAGGCAACCTCGAGTGAGGGGCTAGCGGCGTGTTGCATCGCAAGAGATGACAACAATTGGCTGAACCACTGATAAGTGGTGTAGATTCATCTACCTGCACCCTTCAGGGAATCAGGGAATCAATAGATTCAGCCCTGTGGGCGACAAAGGGGTCAAGCTAGTTAAGTCATGCTAAGTTCAATGTTGTACAGATAATTCTATAGTACATCTTGGGGCGGTGCAGGTAGTCTTCAACACATTTCAAGCGACACCAAGCAGAAAAAGCAACATCCACAGGAGATCGAGATCTTGTTATAGACTTCCAACAGAAGAACCCATCACATTCAGCGGCCAGCACAATTGCTTCACCATCCGGCAAACTTGGGGTGAATTTAGTTCAACAGTTGGAATGCTTTGGAAATCGTTGATTCACCTGTCATTTTTTGAAAAGAATACTGTCAGACTTCAAGCTTGCCAGTCTTTTTGAGATGTTTTGCTTCCAAACCGCAGCCCTTCTGCCTCAAGTCTTTCGCTTCTTTCGCTCTCCCAAAGCATCTCCAAAATCATGTTGCGCCTCATCGCAGCCGTAACTTGCATCGCTTCAGCAGAGTTCACTCTTGAGAAGTTGGGTGAAATGTCAACTTCGATCCAAAAGACAGCTGATGAGTTGCAGGACAAGGTTGTGTCTTTGAGCAAGGAGATTGCTCCCTTGACTGTGAAGATTTCTACCTTGCCGTCAAAAGCTGTCGGGGCAAGTGATGAAGAGAAGGCAACTTTGGAGAAGCAGATGAAAGCTTACTGGGCACAGATTTGCACCGCTGTCGACTCTTTGACCAAGGTGCAGGCAGATGTGGAGAAGCAGGCAGGGGAGACCAAGGATGCCGTGGCCCAAATCCAGTCTCAAGCTGTTGACATGGCGGGTGATCCTGAGAAATTGAAGGATGGACCTACAGTGCAGTACTACTTGACCAAGTTTCAGACGGCCATTCAGACTCTGGATGCTGCAGACACCTCTGCAAAGACCTACACTGGATCAATGACAGCCGACACGGCCGACACGTGCAAAAACATTGCCACTGGTGAGACTGCCGCAACCAGGTTGTTTTTGGAGATGGGGCCATTGTCTCGTCCCACGTTCCATCTTCCTTCTGCTCTCCTGGGCGCAGTGGGTGCGACTGTCGTCGGAGCAGCTTTGTTCGTCTTCCGAACCATGGGCAAGTCACGCTCCAACCAAGTGGCATTGATGGAGGAAGGCAACCTCGAGTGAGGGGCTAGCGGCGCTGTTGCATCGAAAGAGATGACAACAGTTGGCTGCACCACGGATAAGTGGTATACGGTATAGATTCATCTACCTGCACCCTTCAGGGAATCAGGGAATCAAAAGATTCAGCCCTGTGGGCGACAAAGGGGTCAAGCTAGTTAAGTCATGCTAAGTTCAATGTTGTACAGATAATTCTATAGTACATCTTGGGGCGGTGCAGGTAGTCTTCAACACATTTCAAGCGACACCAAGCAGAAAAAGCAACATCCACAGGAGATCGAGATCTTGTTATAGACTTCCAACAGAAGAACCCATCACATTCAGCGGCCAGCACAATTGCTTCACCATCCGGCAAACTTGGGGTGAATTTAGTTCGACAGTTGGAATGCTTTGGAAATCGTTGATTCACCTGTCATTTTTTGAAAAGAATACTGTCAGACTTCAAGCTTGCCAGTCTTTTTGAGATGTTTTGCTTCCAAACCGCAGCCCTTCTGCCTCAAGTCTTTCGCTTCTTTCGCTCTCCCAAAGCATCTCCAAAATCATGTTGCGCCTCATCGCAGCCGTAACTTGCATCGCTTCAGCAGAGTTCACTCTTGAGAAGTTGGGTGAAATGTCAACTTCGATCCAAAAGACAGCTGATGAGTTGCAGGACAAGGTTGTGTCTTTGAGCAAGGAGATTGCTCCCTTGACTGTGAAGATTTATACCTTGACGGCCCCTGTCGGGGCAAGTGATGAAGAGAAGGCAACTTTGGTGAAGCAGATGAACGCTTACTGGGCACAGATTTGCACCGCTGTCGACTCTTTGACCAAGGTGCAGGCAGATGTGGAGAAGCAGGCAGGGGAGACCAAGGATGCCGTGGCCCAAATCCAGTCTCAAGCTGTTGACATGGCGGGTGATCCTGAGAAATTGAAGGATGGACCTACAGTGCAGTACTACTTGACCAAGTTTCAGACGGCCATTCAGACTCTGGATGCTGCAGACACCTCTGCAAAGACCTACACTGGACCAATGACAGCCGACACGTGCAAAAACATTGCCACTGGTGAGACTGCCGCAACCAGGTTGTTTTTGGAGATGGGGCCATTGTCTCGTCCCACATTCCATCTTCCTTCTGCTCTCCTGGGCGCAGTGGGTGCGACTGTCGTCGGAGCAGCTTTGTTCGTCTTCCGAACCATGGGCAAGTCACGCTCCACCCAAGTGGCATTGATGGAGGAAGGCAACCTCGAGTGAGGGGCTAGCGGCGCTGTTGCATCGAAAGAGATGACAACAGTTGGCTGCACCACTGACAAGTGGTATAGACTCATCTACCTGCACCCTTCCGGGAATCAGGGAATCAAAAGATTCAGCCCTGTGGGCGACAAAGGGGTCAAGCTAGTTAAGTCAAGTTCAATGTTGTACAGATAATTCTATAGTACATCTTGGGGCGGTGCAGGTAGTCTTCAACACACTTCAAGCGACACCACGCAGAAAAAACAACATCCACAGGAGATCGAGATCTTGTTGTAGACTTCCAACAGAAGAACCCAACACATTCAGCGGCCAGCACAATTGCTTCACCATCCGGCAAACTTAGGGTGAATTTAGTTCAACAGTTGGAATGCTTTGGAAATCGTTGATTCACCTGTCATTTTTTGAAAAGAATACTGTCAGACTTCAAGCTTGCCAGTCTTTTTGAGATGTTTTGCTTCCAAACCGCAGCCCTTCTGCCTCAAGTCTTTCGCTTCTTTCGCTCTCCCAAAGCATCTCCAAAATCATGTTGCGCCTCATCGCAGCCGTGTGGGAACCTAAGGGAAAACCCAAAGGAACTCAACTGTTCTGGGTCCATTTTCTTATTTAGAGACAAACACTTGTGAGGTTGCCAAAAGTAGGCTTCGGCCCTTTTCAATGCGTTAAAGTGCAAGTTGTTCAGGCCCCCAAACACTGAGCAAACTCAAAGGCGAATCCACCACAAACAAGGGTCTTATTCGACGAAGCATTTGCAAGACAACCGGGCTCTCAATTTGATACTTTGGTCAAATAGGTAGCCCCAAAGGGCGGTCCGTTTCTGATTGGGGAACCCCGGACACCAATCACATGGCCGCAAACAAACCCACCTCTTCCATAGGCCATCGGCTTTTCGGGGCCAAGCGCATTTGCACACTCCGCCAAATTCATCCGAATTTGATTCCTGCTTGGATTTCATTCAGGGACCCCAAAGTGACACAGAAGCCGAGTTCCTTTTTCCGGTTCCTTCCGGGCAAGCCAAGATTTCTCCGAGAGGCGATGCCGGCCTTTCTCCAGGCGCGACGTGGAGTCTTGATGCTGACAATAGGTGGCTGGGTTTTGGGACGAGCAAATCAGCAGGGGTTATCGATTTTTCCCGCGAAACAACGAGCAAAGGAGGTTTCCAGTAGGTTTTTATGCAACCTGGGCCTGACTTGTTTGGGGGATTTGGTTGGGGTACTGCAGAACCAAATCAAGTCACGGCCATAGGTGTCAAACCCGTACAAAGGTGGCCCTCTTGCTATCAGGTCAGGGTCACTGGGCTGGGGATGGCTTGGGAGAACCAACCGCTTTGCTCACTTTGCTATGAGTCTCCGGCATTTGTCTGCTGGGTTCCCTTCAAGGTGCCCTCCAAGAAGCATGCCCCAAGAGGTAAAGCGATGTATCTCTCAATAAATACCAAACAGTAAATAATGCTGGAGAAGATAGGAATGGCGTAGGAGACAAGCATTAAGCAAAAGCGGCTGTTCATTCTGAGATTATTAGTTCGCACATTTATATTCTGTCTCTTATGCTTGTCATTTGTTCTTGTTTAATTTGGTTTCTATCTTATGTCTAGGGCCCGAGGTGACGAGGGGGACCCAGGTGCATCAATCTGCTTCACCTTGAAGTCATGTCGCTGTGTGGTGCAGCTCCAAGTTTAAGAGTTGCACCTTGTTGGGATGGAGAACATGTTGGGTGGACCCGTGGACCCTCACTTGGGGGTGGAACGAGCCCACCATGTAGGTCCTTTACTTGGGGATCCAGATGTGTTTTGAGGGACCCCGTTTTGGTCGGGTTGAAAGGAATCCAAAGCTTTCGGCCCCCCCCCCCCCATTTGTGCAGGTTTGGGCCTCGGGCCCAAACATCCATCCGAAACCGAGCTGGAGCTCAGGTCATGCGCAAATACTAACCGCTTGGCCCAGGGCGGCAAGGCAAAACGCAGCTACCGCTGGGCCAAGCGGATTCGGCTCATCTCTGTTGCTCTTTGTTACCCCTCCAGTGCAAGCCAGCTGAGGTTTCCCGGACCCAAATCACCCACAAATCACCAGGCTCCAACATTGAGAACCAGGATTTCAGGATCTCTCTTTTTTTTCAATGACCAACCTTCTGTCCCAGTCCCAGTCAGCAACGCCTACCTTTCTCCGGGTTTCGGTTTTGGGGGGTCAGGTGGAGGTGAAGCCCCAGAACTTGGTGGAGCTTGAAGCATCTCAGGAGCTGGGGGGGGGTTCACGTGTTTTCGCCCGCAAGGAACCTTGTTTGAATTTAGAACCCATTCAATTTCAAGGTAGGGGAGGCCTCAAGAGTTAAAACGTGACACAAGATGACTCGATGTTTAGTTTGGGGACTACACCTACCCTTCAACTTTTGGGGTGGAGGGTAATGGTTATGAATCCCTGCAATTGGCGAACCATTGGCGGGTTCCTTAAGGTCCAGCCATGGCCACAAGTTTTGCCCACGGCAGGAGGTGATCCCTGCGTCTCGGGGCTCAGGGATGGAGAAGGGAGCGAAAGACGTGGTTTGGCCGTGGAAAAAGTCTGACTAAGCCACCTCCTCATTCGTCCTTGCCATGAAAACCTTTACAAAGGGCCGACATCTTGATGAGGAAGCAGTCTTGTCATGGCATGCCCCCCCGCTTGTCCCCGTCCAAGGCCGCCGCCGCTGGCGCCATCGCAGCGTGTGCAGGCGAGGAACAAATCAGATGAGTCTGCCTTCGGGTCAGCGGAGCCTTATGGGTCTGCTTTGTAGAGGTTGTGTTCGGCGGAAACCAAATGGAAATAGTGGACAAACAACTCTGAAAGGGTTCGTGCTTATTAGAAGACGAGGTAATTAATTGGCATCAAGGCGCTGTTCTGACTCCAGTCCAGCCTCGGTTGGGCTCAAATCCAATCCTTGGATCAATTTTCACTTCACGCCAAAGGGCTTTCATTCGGGGATCCCATTCGGGGGGGTTCGATTACCAAGAGAATCAGCCGACTAAAATGGAACCTTACCCTGGAGAAAGGAGGGATGCGTGCCCAGATCAATTGCTGTGCCCAGATAAATTGCATTACGAGCAGAGCGGGATTCCTGGCCCGTTTGCTTAGTGCCTGCTCTTGTTTGCCCTTGTGGTAGTGCAATCCATAGACATCTCTGTGGTGAAGGCCAGCTCCGAAGCTTTTTTTGGTGGGCTCCATGCAGGTACCTTGTAACTTGAAGGCACCACTCTTAACCTAGTTCTTATCCAAGCAGTCAAAGGCCACGGGGTCCACAAGCTAAGCTGCAGTTTGGGGACCCAGGAATTGAGACACCGCTCCACTTTCGAACATTTTACGCGCGAAGTATGAACGATCTGAACATATTTGTGTGCCCTGGGCCAAGCTTGGTGTTTAGAGCCGTTTGGGCGATCATTCCAAGGTGCCGGTTGTAAGGTTTGTTCGAACCTTCCCTTTTCGTACCGGTTTGCGGGGATCCCAATTCAAAGCTTGGTTGCCGACAAGTCATCTTGGGCTATGCTGGTGATTTGGTTTGGTAGATAAGAGGTGGACGGTAGCGGGTAGCTTCCCAGTTTGGCTCCAATCCCCAAACCACCGAATTGAGCAGCGATGTGTGATCAAATGAATCGGTTTGTACGAAAAGGACACCGCATGCAGTGTGCAGAGGTAATCCTAGTTGGGGCATAGGCTCGGGTAGGCTTTTGCGCCTAGGCTGTTGTTTTATCCCAGGCATAGGTTTCTCGTATCGGCATGTCTTGAACGAAGCATGCATTTGCTGTTGGCCAAACACGAATGATGTCGCTTCTTTGGCATCCTTCTTTAAGTTTGGCGCAGGCTCCGCATAGGCCCTGCGCAGGCGTTCACGTCCGCTTTCGAGGCATTTCAATACCTAGGCCGTTTCTAGCAGTCAGATCCTTGGACAGTGCAGCTCT